ACATACAGACGGCTGACATATGAAAACATGTTCCAAGTCACTAATTATCTGAGAGATGCAAATCAAAACAACAATGAAGTACTATCTCACACCTGTCAGAATGGCTACCATCAACAAATCAACAAATGACAAGTGCTGGCGAGAATGTAGAGAAAAAGGAACCCTCTTGCATTGCTGGTAGGAATGCAGACTGGTGCAGCCACTGTGGAAGACAGTATGGCATTTCCTCAAAAAATTAAAAATGGAACTTCCATTTGACCCTGAGATCCCACTTCTAGGAATATATCCCAAGAAACTAGAAACACCAATCAGAAAGGATATATGCACCCCTATGTTCATAGTAGCAAATTTATAATAACTAAGATTTGGAAACAGCCTAAATGCCCACAGCAGAAAACTGTGGTACATCTACACAAAGGGATACTACGCTGCTGTAAAAAGAAGGAATTCTACCATTTGCAATAGCATGGATGGAACTGGAAAGCATTATGCTAAGCAAAATAAGCCAGTCAGAGAAAGATTAATATCACATGATCTCACTCATTTGTGGAATATAACGAACAATAAAAACTGAGGTACCAAAACAGAAATAGAGTCATAGAAGCATCAAACAGACTGTCCAACCTATGAGGGAAGATAGGGGTAAGGAGGTAAGAGATCAACCAAATGACTTGTATGCATGTATATGAGCAAAACCAATGGACACAGACAGGGGAGGAGGGGAGAGCCTGTGCTGGGGTGGGGGTGGCTGGGAAGAGGTCACTGGGAGGAAAAGAAGACTTATGTAATACTTTAAACAATAAAGAATTTAAATATAAAAAAAAGCATGTGCTCTGGAGCCAGACACCCTAGTGTCTAATCTGGGCTTTGCTACCTATTCACTTTGTGACCTTGAGCAGGTTATGTAACCTCTGTGAGCCTCAGTTTACTCATCTATAAAATAGGAATACTAATACTACCTTTCATAGAATTGCTGTGATGTTTAAATATGAGGTGACATATGTAAAATATTTAGAACACTAGGTACTTCTTTGTTGTTTTGATTTGCATCTCTCAGATGATTAGTGACATGGAACATGTTTTCATATGTCTCTCAGCCATCTGTATGTTTTCTTTCTAAAAGTGTCTTGGTGCATGAAATTTGTGCATGAAGGGGTGTCCCTCAGCCTGGCCTGTACCCTCTCCAATCTGGGATCTTTTGGGATCAGGCCTAAACTGGCAGTCAGACATCCTTCTCGCAATCCAGGACAGCTGGCTCATAACCACTTGCCTACCTGCCTGCCTGATCACCCCTAACCACCTCTGCCTGCCAGCCTGATGACCCTAATGGCTCCCCTGCTGGCCTGATTGCCCCTAACTGCTCCCCTGCCAGCCTGATTGGCACCTAATCGAGTCTCAGGCCACTGGGCAGCTGCCATGGACAGCTTGCCTGAGTATCAGGCGGACCCTGGCGATTGGGCAGCTGAAATCCCAGGTTTGTCTGAGCTCGAAGCCACAATCCGCAGCTTCCCTGAGCCTTGGCCCAGACCTGGGTGGCTGGGAAGCCACCATTAGTAGCTTGCCTGAGCTCACAACAGCCATCCCCGACTTCCCTGAGCCTCAGGCAGCCTCTGTGGCTTTGTCTGGAAGGACATCTGGAAGGTCCTCCGGAAGGTCTCCCGGTCTAATTAGCATATTACCCTTTTATTAGTATAGATTGGCACATGGCTTAGAAATGTTATTTTTCTTTTTTGTACCTTATTTTTATGATGTCTATAAGACATCTAGTTAGGCCATTAAACAGGTAGGTTTGAATAATGAGAGATGTGAGCTGGAGTAATAAATCTGGGGAATTGCTAGAATATAGCAGATTTTAAAGCTACAAAATCAATTAAGAGCATTCATGAGGAAAATAAAATATATATGAATATACTGTATATGTCTGTATATAATACACATGTATGTACATACAAAAACGATAATAGAAAAAGACCAAGGATAGAACTTAGAGAACAAAATACCCAAGAAGAGAAACAACATAAAGAAGTTAATGAGTATTTAAAGGTAGGTAAAGGACAAAGAGAGAATGGTGCTTAAAAAGCCAAAGGCAGAAAAATTTTTAAGGAGGGAGGGAATCAATAGTGCCAAGTGATCAGGACTGGAAATAGACCATTGGATTTTGAAATTAGAGGATCATTGTTGACCTTTTTGTGAACTGTAAAAAAGCTGAGCTGTGAAAGGTAATTTAGGAAACAGAGAAAACAAGTATTGATGATTCTTTAAAAAATTTAAACTATAAAATGTAAAAGGAAGATGAGAGGCTAGTTCAAGAATAAGTAGGATCAAAAGAAGGTGTAATATGAGAGAAACCTGAGAATGCTACTAAGCTAAAGGGAAGTCAATGAAGAGAGAGTATATGAAGATATGTGATTTACTCTTATCTATTTTTTGAAGTACTGAAGATAATGAAAATGCTATCACAGGTATAAAATTTCACTTTAAAGATGATCTAGAAAACTTCTGTGAGAAGTTAATACTCTGTTTTAAAACACAAAAAAGAAAAAGAAAAAGGTATATAGTTGTCATTTAAAAATGTAATTAGTCCTGTATTTTAACAGAACTACTTCCTCAGACTATAATAACATTTTGAGAATTCTCAGGATACTATCAAAATAGAAAAGTCATTATTAAAATACAGCATTAACTATATTTTTAAACAACAGATTTTAACTTGTTTTTCATTCTGCATTCTGAAATTTTTGAATTTTTAGATAATATTTTTTCATTCACATGAAATAGTACAAATAAACAAATCCACTTCACAATTCAGTGATAGTAATAGGCTCTGTATATAACAAATTACTAATTTTTGTAGCTCATTAGAATAGGAAATTTCAATTTGTGATTTGCAGATGTTTGCATCTATAGCAAGTACTCAACAATTTCTTGAATACCTAGCAAGATGTCTATGATTCTTCAATGTGTTTACTTGTTAACAACATGCCATTTTATCAGTCCATTCAGCCCAACTTCCTGAAGACTGGAATATCTCATTCCCTTCTCATCATTTTGTGTGAGCTACTCTATAGCAGAGGTGTCGTTTTAAAGGTCAGACAATTCAATATATCAATGTTGATATCACAAAGACCTGGCTTCAAATCAAAACTCTACCCCCTCAACAGCTTTGTAATTTTGAGTGAGCTGTGTAATGAAAACATTCACTATATCTAAAACACCTAATTACTTCTAAACAAGTATTGCAAGACAAGTACAAACTCCTACCTATGACCGACAATCAAAGAAATTTAGCTAGGTAAGCCTAGCTAAAGAACATGGGCAAAAATTTCAAGAAATCATCTAAAAAAATAGTTTTCAAACCTTTCAATAGAGATATTAGATTTTATTTAGACACATCCTATATAGTAAAAGGCTAATATGCAAATCTACAGAATGGCTGAATGGTGGCATTGCTGTGCACTGACCACCATGGGGCAGATGCTCAGTGCAGGAGCTGCCCCCTGGTGGTCAGTGCGCTCAGCCAGAAGCCCTGAGCCAAGCTCACTGCTGGTGAGTGCAGCAGCAGTGGTGGGAGTCTCTCCTGCCTTTGTGGCAGTGCTAAGGATGTCTGACTACTGGCTTAGGCCTGCTCCTCCTAAGCTGGCAGTCAGACATTCCCTGAGGGCTCCTGGACTGTGAGAGGGCACAGGCCAGGGTGATCCCCCAAGCCTCTAGTTTTATAATAAGAAGTGTACTGTAAAAAGAAAAACACTGAGCCCAGCTGGTGTGGCTCAATGGTTGAGCGTGGACCTAAGAACCAGGAGGTCATGGTATGATTCCCAGTCAGGGCACATGTGGGCTCAATCCCCAGTAAGGGTGTGCAAGAGGCAACCCATCAATGATTGTCACTCAGATGTTTCTATCATTCCCTCCCTCTCTGAAATAAATAAAAATATAATTTAAAAAGAAGAAAAAAATCACTGGAAGTAAATATCCCAATTATTTAAAAAATGTAATATCCTGGACATAAATAGCACACCATAAAAGATTATGAAAACTGCTTATTATAGTTGCAGCAGAACTAACAATGAACAAATTTCCTTAAATATCTGAAGACTGATTATAGCTTTCTAACACTACAGTGTTCTCATTGGACAAACCAATTTATCTGCTGTAGCTTCAAATGCTGATGGAAAAAAAAAAGAAGAACAAATAATTGATAATAAAATTTAAAAAAAAGAAAATGCCTACTGTATTATCAGGTAAGAAATTTTAATATTTAAACACTCACTGCTAAATAACAGCACCTACATAGCTGGGTTGTTGTGAGAATTAAATCAGATAATATAAGTAAATTGTTTAATCCAGGATCTCACACTATAAGTATGGTCAATAAATATGCATTTTCACCAGTCAATAACAAAGTTATCATTCATAAAATAGGTCATTTCCTGAAATTATCTAAGAAAAGATACTGAGTTTTGTCATTTTCTAAAAAAAGAAAAAACAAAAACAAAGCATTTAGGCTGGGTCTACACAGGTTGTCAGGTAAACACTGTCCTAGAGTTGCAATTCAATCACTACAATTCTGGTGAATCAGACTTCTGAATGCCGTATATGGCGCAAAGAGAGATGCACTTCTTTTTTTTTTTTAATTTCTAGAAGCCCACAGACATCCTTAACACTTGTTAGGATAATGACATTGGCTGAATTGTTTGTGCTGTTGCTCTGATTGTTGCTAAGGCTTTAATTTCTGCAGTTTATTACATTAATTACTAAATTTCTACCCAAATATTAATAATAATCCTAATCATTGCATTTGCAATAATCCAATGTACTTTTCCTAATTTTAAACAATTTGTTATTCTCACAGACAAAACTTCTAGTTTTTATGAACAACAAAGCAACAGGAAGAATTTCATTTTTATGTTCCATTCAATTAAAGTGTTAGTGCAAATGGTATCACACAAAATGAGTCCTCTAAATATAATTCTAGAAGCAATTTAAGACAAAACTAGACTCACCTGTAATTGCAAAGCTTCATGATTTTCTAACCCTTCCACAATTGGTGAAAATCGTTCTCTGTTATATCTTTCTGCTGCGGTAGTTATAGCCCCTAATAGTTTCTCGAGACTAGAGAGAAAAAAATAGAAAAGGAATAAAACATATCACACACACACATTGTGAATATGGGGTTATCTCTATCAGATTTCCCTGCCTTATTTCTGGTGTTTGATCAGGAGATAGATCATCACAATTAAAGAATTGTGTTTCTAAGTGCATATTTCAACATATTAAATATTGATAGCATTAAATAATTTTAGGGCATCGACATGAAAATTCAATTAAAAATCTTGAGGACAGTTTTTTTTTTCCTGTGTGACATTTTTAAAAAGATACTTAACTGATGAACACTGAAATTTAAAATTTCAGAGTTTGCTATTTTGTGTAACAGATATAAATATATCTGCAACCCAAAATGGTACCTACAAATATTAAGTTTATTCAAGTGTAAACTGACTGTAATTTATTTATTTATTTTGAATTTTTATAAGATCTCAAATGCTCTCCCGACCGAAATTTTATAATAAAGTGCTAGAGAAATTTAAAAATAAAATAAAAAGAACTTAAAAATATTAACATCTACAGAAGCATTTATAATTACCTAGAACAAGCAACTTAGTTACCTGAACAAAATAATAAAGACTATCTCTTATACAGTGTCTGAATCAAATAAAATTCTATATAGTGCACTACCCTTATAAAATTATATCTAAAATTATATTTAAAGCATATCAAATATAGCAGGGTAGGGTGTAGTATATGAATTAAATATTGAAAAAAATATATTTGACTAGAAAAATATTTTTTATGCATGTATAAACTAATTTTTCTATAAAACCTAAGGAAACCTCAGTATTGCATATGTTACCTCATTTATGGTTTGTTCTGAGATAAGATTTAATGCCATATGATAATATTTTTGTTTGTCTTTATGTTTCTAAGGACACATTAGTCAGCATTAACCAACATTTCATTTTATTCTAGCAGATATGAAAAAGTCAACTCACTAGAATATCCCTAACTCTTTGTATAGCCCTGTTTAGATTCAAATGGAAATTACTGCTGGCATGCAAAGTGTTTAGAAGAAACATTTTAGTTCATGTCCTTAGCAGGTATTTCATTATTTATCACAATTTTTTCTTACTAACTAGACATATTAATGACATTACATTTGAAATTTTGCTTCTGATTCAATATTATTCCTATAAGAAGAAATTAACTAATGTATGGTCAGCAATGACTTGCTGAAACTGGCACTTTTATCACAGACTCTCTAAAAAATTACCCAGACTTTCTGTTCTTTCTTTTTAACAGGTTAGTTTGTTTCATTCTATTAATAATTGCTTTATCTTTTCACTTACCATAGGCAGATAAAATACTTCTACAAAATAATAGTACAAAATAAAAGCATCTAGTTAATTTATTAGTTCAAGTAGCCAAATTTTGTTATGTGCACGTGTGTGTGGGGGGGTATAGGGGCAGGTGTGTAGGGGCGTGTGTGTGTGTGTGTGTGTGTGTGTGTGTGTGTGTGTGAGTGTGTAGCCAAAATTACTCTCTGATTATTTTCCTATATTTCTAGGAATTGCTTTACTTTCAACAAGACAAAATTCTATTCATTCAGTCGTAATCCAACTTTGAAGATTTTCCCATTAGAATTCTATGTTTAAACCTATTTTTCTAAGAATCAAACAAAGCTAAAATGTAAATAGATAAGATAAAAATGCTACTAATTTTTTCCTAAAATTTTATATTATTTTTATGAAGTTATCTAAAGAAATAGCATACAAGTAGGAGTTAAATTCTCAAGTGTAACTTTCCATGAAATTAATAACATAGCAATACTTACATGTTATCTTCTCCAACTATGCAAATAGCAGAAAGTATTTTTACTATTTCAGTCATCATGTTAGGTTGTTTGGGGTCAATTGCTCTTGCCAATAGTAAAAGACTTCTTTCATCTCCTAGAATCCTTTGCAATCCAAACTTAAACAAAACAAAAAAAAAAAACTTTCATTCAAAATGCCTTTAGAACATATCTTTAAGAAATACAACTTACAATGATTTTCTAAAACTCATACCTCCACAATAAAGTTCTACCTAATTATATGAATGATCTTCAAACAAACAGTTATTTGTCTTTGTTTTTTATTTGAAATGACTGCATCTTGATAGTTTTTAGCCCTTGATCAGATATGATCTACATTAGACTGTCTAAAATTCCATTAGGATCTGGGAGAAATATGGGAACAATCAGTATTTCTTCAACAAAGAACATGTAAAGCACATATTGACATGATTTTCTAAAGTAATTCCACTTATGTCACTGGGTCTCCCTGGAGATATCTGCAATTCACGGTTAAATCCTCCAATATGTTTGTATAAAAATTAAATTGAACAAAAAGAGTGAAATGCTGAAAAGCTCTTGTATACTATATTCCAGGTAAAGCAATAAGCCTCTGTACAGATTCTTCTGTACCTTCTGTTAGTCTCCCCTTTCAGGCAGCTATGCTGCATTCTGAAAGCTATGAACCCAAATAAATGGCACCTGGATTTCAATAAGTGTCACATTCAACTGCACAGAAAAGTTGAATAAATTATCCCTTTCATTTAATTTTCAGTCCTAAATATGTGTGCACAAGTGTGCATTATAAAAATGAATAGGTATAGACATTTTAAAGAAAGCCCAAAACGTGGATATTCACTACATTAAGGTAATATATTCTTTGATCTTTGTCCCACAGAGTATTTTTCAAATTTCTTATGAAACAGGTTTGCTTTTTACAGTGAAATCTGACAACATTTCATCAGAGTAAAATGGCCATTTCAAGCTAACCTTTAAGTACCAAGCAAATGATTTTCATGGTTACTAATTTAACTTCTAAAAGAATTCATGGGAAAATAGCTAAAGCTCTTAAATGTAACTTTACCAGAGGTCAAAATAAGTAAAGAAATAAAAGAAAAACATAAAAGGAAATGGAAGAGACAAAATATAAAAACAGCAAAGAAAACAGAAGGAATATGTAAAATAAATAAATAAATAAGTGAAAAACACAGGTGTAAAACTGACAATTACTACATAATTACCAAATTTAAAGTAACAACCTTAAAAATCACTCATAGAGTGAAATCATTTAGTTTTCAAATTTCCACTTATTGTTTAAAAGTATTTTATAATATGTAGGGATATAATGATAATAAAAATGAAAATATGAGTAATAATGAAAAACCATAAATCTAAACCTCAGAGCATTATTACAGCAGAGGAAGTTAAGAAGCAATTGGTATATTTTTTATGATCCTATTCTGACATGCACTGTATAAGGAAAAATAAATTTTGAAGTAGGTAATATAAATTCCGTGGGGCCAACAAATTTGATGTTTAAGTCATTTCATATGAAACTTTGATTCTTTGATTATGACAGTTTATTCCAACATGAAGTGGACTTATCACTCCATATTTTTATTTTGAATACATACTTTTCCCTATTATTTCATATGCCTATAAGTTAAAAGATCCACCATGTGTTCATGTTCTGAGCCTCTATCCACAAGATATTAACATGCCTTAACTAAACCTTAACCTTAGTTTAGAACAATCCAATTCAAACCATCATGTTTGTATGGAAAATACAATAATTAATTAATAATACTATAAGAATAAACACTGTTTTGCATATTCACAACTGTAAACCTACTTTTGCCCCACTCTGTATATACATTTACATGTAATCTCATATAATTAAGAAAGCCTTTGCAGATTACTTAGACTATCTCAATGCACTGGTTATTAATAGCTATATTTCACATTTAGCTAGCTTTTGTTTACTGTTATAATTATTTATCTCTATTAATATTTGAGATTCTTAAAACACCACCTAGCCGGGACCGGTTTGGCTCAATGGATAGAGCGTTGGCTTGGGGACTGAAGGGTCCCGGGTTCGATTCCGGTCAAGGGCATGTACCTTGGTTGCGGGCACATCCCCAGTAGGGGGTGTGCAAGAGGCAGCTGATCGATGACTCTCTCTCGTCGATGTTTCTAACTCTCTATCTCTCTCCCTTCCTCTCTGTACAAAATCAATAAAATATAAAAAAATAAATAAATAAATAAATAAATAAAACACCACCTAAAGGGAATTATATAATTAGTAAATTTAGCAGTGGTATTTTACTTAAGGAAATATAAAGCAAATAATTTCTAAGACATTAACAAAATAGTTTATAGAAAAAATAAATTTAAGAAACTCTTGGGGACTCTGCCCCCTCCCTACATGGGAGTCAGTTTTGTGGGACTCTTTCCCTCTCCCCATGTGTGAGTCTGTATTTGTTCTTCAATAAATTTCCACCTTTGCAATAAAAAAATTAAAAAAAGAAACTCTTAACATTTGCAATGGCATAAATGGACCTGTAGAGCATTATGCTAAGCAAAATAAGCCAGTCAGAGAAAGAGAAGTATCACATGATCTCACTCATATGTGGAATCTAGGAACAAAATAAACTGATGAACCAAATAGATCCAGAGACATGGAACCATGGAACAGACAAGTCTCAGAGGGAAGGTGTGGATGTGAGTGAGTTGGAGGAAGAGATTAAACTGAAAACATGTATGCATATCCCATGGATACAGGCAATAGTGTGGTGAAGGCTTGGAAGGGGCAGGTGCAGGGTAGAAGGGGTCAATGGGGAAAAAAACAAAAGAGACATCTATGATACTTTCAACAATAAAGCTAAATTTAAGAAAAACAACTTTAACTTCATGACCTAAGCACAGACTACTTTTAGAAGAAAAAACCTTGTAAAGATTATTTCATTGAGTCCTTCATAATGCAAAACAAACAAAAACCCCCACTAATTTCCAGAAATGCCTTATACGTATGTTAACTGACATTAATTGAACATAAAAGAAAGATAATTCATAACCTTATAATGTTCTTAGCGAACAAGTCAATCCATGGCTTTGCATTTTCCTTTTCAAAGAAATAAAAAACACTAAGAAAATGCTATTCATCATATGACATCTAATTTTTTCTCTATTACAAAAGGAAAAAAAAGCATTATCTAATTTGGGAATAAGACTTATGTGTTTGCATGATTGTAAAAACTTACCAATAATTATTTTGTGAGGGAAAACACATTTTAAATACTATTTAAATGAACCATGATGATTTGCATCATAAAGACCTTTCTGTAAACTGAATAAGCACACACTATTTTGTATGTTTCATATTTTCATACTGTTGGGTAAGTTCTCACCTTTTGTGACAAATGAAGAAATAAACACTACTTACCTTATTATTCATAAATGCTTTGAGGCACTGAATAAGTTTATGCTGATTCTTCTTGTCAATATTTTCTTGCCTGAATTAAAAAAACAAACTATTATACTGTGCTTAAACATTTCCCCTTTGGAGATTTTTTTCATGTTTGTTCTTACTGTTTCTTGTCCAGAAGCTTTTCCAGCTCATCCAGTAAGAGTCCAAGACCTTCATGGCCAAAGTTGTTAACCCAGCTAGGAAATAAACAAAAAAATGCATAAATAAGTTTGTATATTGAAAACATGAAGTATCTAAAGTGAAATTATAGTTTTCAAATATAATAATATCATCTTTATATTGCTCATCATTCTCTTTTTACTCCAATTGCTTCAAGCATCCTCTGTGAGGATGACTCAACATCTTTACCTCAGTATCACAATTTTCCTCACATTTTAGATTGCCCACTCCACAGCACAGCCTTGGTTGTTCTCTAGCAACATATACTTAAACCTGAACTTATAAGCCAATTTATCTTCCTCTGTGCCCCTGCTTCCAAAAATCAACTCCTCTTCCATTCTTCCATGTTGTTAATTACACCACTATACCTTTTTAATCATTCAAAATCAAAATACTTGCACAATCTGTGATCCCTCATCAATATTTTTAAAAAATATATTTGTATTGATTTCAGAGAGGATGGAAAAGAGAGAGACAGAAGCATCAATAATGAGCGAGTATCATTGATATGCTGCCTCCTGCACGCCCTCGACTGTGGATCAATCCCGCAACCCAAGCACATGCCCCCCACTGGAATCAAACCCAGAATCTCCCATTCTGCAGTACAATGCTTTATTCACTGAGCCAAACCAGCTAGGACCCCTCATTCAGTGCATATATCTAGTACCAACATGTTCTATTTAGGTGATAGATATATAATAGGCAACAAAACTAAGCCCTTACCCTCTTATAGCTTATCATCTCAAAGAGGGAGACACATGATAAGCAGATAAACATATAACAAAATGTCACTGAGGAGGAGAAAAAATGGCGGCAGAATAGACAGAAGTGTCCCGAGCCTTGTACCTGAGCAGAAAGAAAGAATACCTGAGGGTCACAGTGGAGTGTTTGTTGGTGAGTTAAGAGAAAGCTATATTCCAGGAGGAGGTGAGGGAATGTTGGACAGGGTTCCCCTGACCAGGAAGCCCCCACTGCCACTGGGTTCTCTCTCAGGGCCACCGGGTTGGACGTGGAAACCATGCAATCTTGAAGGTGAAAGTAGATGTCATTGAAAGCCTGAAAATATACAATTGTGGCACCCACCGAATAGCTGTGAACCCTGGAACACCAGTCCCCTATTGGTACAAACACGTGGTTTCAGAGGAGCTCTACACTCCACCACAGAAAGGTCAGATTTTGCCTGGGAAGAGGAGAGAGAGAGCTACATAACCAGACATCCAGAGAAGAGAGATCATGGGGAGACAAACAAACAGTGCACATATGAAAGAAAAGCAGGTATCACCAGAAAAGGAAGTAAATGAAATGGAGGCAAGCAACCTGTCAGAGAAATGTTCATAAAGTGGCTGAAAAGAATGTAAGAAAAATTCAACAATATGAGTAAGAACCAAGAGGAAATGAAGAAGAACCAAGAAGAAATGAAAAATGGCATAGCTACTGTAAAGAACTCAATAGAAATAATTAAGAGTAGACTAGAAGAAGCAGAGAACTGCATCAGTGAGCTAGAAGACATGGTGGGAAAATATACCTAAGTACAGCAGCTTCTAGAAAAAATAATTAAAAAGCAGGAGGAGAGCCTAAGGGAACTTTGGGACAACACAAAACAAAACCACACTCACTTTATAGGGGTTCCAAAAGGAGAGGAAACGAGCAAGGAATAGAAAACCTGTTTGAAGAAATAATGACAGAAAACTTCCCTGATACAGGGAAGAAAAAACACAAATCCAAGAAACTCACAGAGTCCGAAGCAAAAGGGACCCCAAAAGACCTACATCAAAGGACATTATAATTAAATTGGCAAACACCAAAGACAAAGTAAGAATCTTAAAAACAGGCAGAGAGAGACAGAAAGTTACATACAAAGAAATCCCCATTAGACAAGTTACTAATTTCTCAACAGAAACTCATCAGGCCAGAAAGGAATGGAATGAAATATACAAGGTCATGCAAAGGAAGGGTCTGAATCCAAGAATACTGCACCCAGCAAGGCTATCAATCAAAATTGAAGGTGAAATGAGGAGATTCACAGACAAAAAGGACTAAGGTAATTTATTACCACCAAACCAGCAATGCAAGAAATGCTAAAGGGTGTGCTGTAAAAAAGAAAAAGAAAGAAATAGGAACCAAAGAAGGAACAAATGGGTAAAGAATAAAAATGGTAACAAATAAGTACCTATTAATAACTTTAAATGTAAATGGATTAAATGCCCCAATCAAAAGACATAGGGTAATAGATTGGATAAGAAAACAAGACCCATATATCTACTGTATACAAGAAACCCACCTCAGAAAAAAAGACTCACACATTTTCATTTCCATTTACCTTTTTCCAGGTAAATGGAAATGAAAAAACAAAACAAAACACTAAAAAAATCAATCCCATTTACCACTGCACCAAAAAAATTAAGATACCTAGGAATAAACTTAAGTAGGAAAAGACTTATATGTGGAAAACTACAAGACACTGAAAAAAGAGATAGAGGAAGACATAAACAGATGGAAGAACATACCATGTTCATGGATTGGTAGAATCAGCATCATTAAAATGTCCATACTACCCAAAGCAATCTATAGATTCAATGCACTTCCCATTAAAATACCAATGGCATATTTCACAGACCTAGAAAGAACTCCAAAAATTCATCTGGAATAAAAAAAGACCTGAATAGCCACAGCAATCCTGAGAAAGAACAACAAAGTAGGTGGGATCTCAATACCAAATTTCAAGCTGTATTACAAAGCCACTGTTCGCAAAACAGCCTGGAACTGGCAGAAGAACAGACATATAGACCAATGGAATAGAATAGAGAATCCAGTTACCTTACACCTGTAAGAATGACTATCATCAACAAATCAGCAAACAACAAATGCTGGTGAGGATGCAGAGAAAAAGGTACCCTGCTGCACTGCTGGTGGGAATGTAGACTGGTGCAGCCACCATTGAAAACAATATGGAGTTTCCTCAAAAAACTAAAAATGAAAATCCCATTTGACCCAGTAATCCTACTCCTAGGAATATATCCTAAGAAACTAGAAACACCAATCACAAAGGATATATGCACCCCTATATTCATAGTAGCACTATTTACAATAGCTAAGATTTGTAAACAACCTAAGTACCCATCAGCAGATGACTGGATCAGAAAACTATGGTATCTACACAATGGAATACTATGCTGCCATAAAAAGGAAGGAATTTTTACCATTTGCAGCAACCTGGATGGAACTGGAGAGCATTATGCTAAGTGAAATAAGCCAGTCAATGAAAGAAAAATACCACATGATTTCACTATTTTGTGGATAATAAAGCACATTATAAACTGATGAACAAAAAGATAAATACAGAGGCAGTAAAGCATCAAACAGACTGTCAAATTACAGCAAGAAGGTTAGGGAGAGGTGGGGGTGATAAAGACCAACTGATGGACTTGTATGCATGCATATATGCATAACCAATGGAAGCAAAACACTGGGGGGTGAGGGCATATATGGGAGTAGGGTGGAAGGGCAGTGATAAGATATGTACACATATAATACCTTAATAAAAAATGGGAACGAATAAATTAAAAAAATATTAACCTTGACACTGGTAAAAAAAAAAAAAAAAAGGCATTGTTTTGGTGCAATGAACAAAAATAAATATTGCTAAATGGAATAAGAATGGCAGGGGACAAATTCTCGAAAAGGTGTCATTTCAGTAGAGCCCTGAAGGAAATAAGGACTTTCCAAGGAAGAGGAATAGGTGCAACTGGATACTGAAGTGGTAGCTATTGTGCTCAGAAATTCCAGGAGCTGTGAGGAAACCTGAGTGGCTAGAGTTGAATAAGGGGGGCCTGGATGAGCAGCAGGAGATGAAGTCCCATGTGTGCTAGAAGGTTGGAGACTGATCAGGTAGAGCTTCCTTTCACTTTTTATTATCCAGTTCTGAATATTCTATTTCTACAATGCTTCCCACACATGGGCTGGCCCTCCTTTCCATAGTCTCTGCTAACATTCTAATGTAGCTCTAGTCACTTTAACAAGCTAGGAACCTCTCAACCAGGTTCTCTACAGCTTCATTTGTTCTTTTATTCATTTTACAAAATACCAAATTTGACTGAACTTAATCTTTTGTCCAAAGTTGTCCTCTGGACTACCCAACACATTTCAAATCCTGACTCTGATCTAGTGTCAACCTATCTTTACAGCCTCAGGCCTTATACCACATGTTCTAGTGAAAATCAGAAACTGTCCTTCCTGGAATCCTCCCTGTATTTCCCTGCATTTCTTAAATTATGTTTCTTTACATAAAGCAACCCCAAACCATTCAAGACTCAAATTGAGTGTAAATTCTTCCATTAGTGTTTTTGCCCATAAGTCTTCTATCCAAATAGGAGTTATTATTCCTTTGAACACTCATGTATCTTTATTTCTAACTAGAGGCCCAGTGCACTAAACTCCTGCACAGGGAGGGAGGAGTTTCTCAGCCCAGCCTGCATCCTCTCCAATATGGAATCCCTGTGGGATCGGGACTAAACAAACAGTTGAACATCCCTCTCATAATCCAGGACTGCTGGCTCCCAACTGCTCACCTGACTACCTTCCTGATTGCCCCTAACGGCTTCTGCCTGCCAGCCTGATCACCCACTAACCACTCCCCTGCCAGCCTGATTAATGTCTAACTGCTCCCCTGCCAGACTTTTTGCCCCCAACTTCCCTCCTCTGCCAGCCTGGTCACTCCTAACTGCCCTCCCCTGCTGGTCTGATTGCCCACAACTGCCCTCTTTTGAAGGCCTTATCCCTCCCAACTGCCCTCCCCTGTTGGCCATCTTGTGGTGGCCATTTTATATCCACATGGGGGCAGCCATCTTGTGTGTTGGAGTGATGGTCAATGTGCATATTACTCTTTTATTAGATAGGACAGAGGCCTGGTGAATGGGTGGGGGCCTTCTGGTTTGGCCTGAAGGGTGTCCCAGATTAGGGTGGGGGTTCCCTTGGGGCATAAGGCGGCCTGAGTAAGGGGCCTATAGTGGTTTGCTGG